TTTGTACAATTTTTTTATTTCATCACTATTGCAGAGTGGAACTCACTGTCACTAAGTACAGTAGGGGCAGTATCATTAGATAGCTTTAAACAATGTTTGAGTACGTTGTATAAGGTTACTTGTAACAAGTCGTTCAGTGTAATGTAGCCAGCTGCCCCCAGGCCGCGTGCCTTACGTCGAAGGGCGATTATACAGATATTTTGTGGGACCATATTTGGTATGAAACAGCAACAGCCAATAGGCAAGCAGCTTTTCTATGCATGTTGAGCTGATTGGCCAATATGCAAGTGGTGATTGGCAAACCTTGCTGATTGGTTGTTGAGATAATTGGATCACAGCTGGCACCATTACATATATTGAAGTTGTTTTGTTTTGTTACCTCAGACCGATGGCCAATATCCATACAAAAGCATGTAGAATTTTCTAGATTCTATGACAATATGATATTTTACCTTTACAGAGGTGCTTCACCTACATGGACCGAGGCTTTGTCTTTAAACTCATCAACTCATATCTGGACCACTTCAATCCCTCAGACCCAAAGGTAGGCATCTTCTATCAGTTGACTCTTAATTTTTTTTTGCCCTTTTGTTTGTTTTGGTTTGTTTGAAATAATCTACTTGTTCCTGCAGTGTGTTGCTCTTACTGCTTGTACTACATGTACAGTAACTTGAGTAAGACTTTTGGAAAAGTCGGAAAGAATGTTACCATAAATCGTTACTAATAACTTCAAGTTGTCTTCTTACATGCAAACGTATTTCTAATAGGACCTGGTGCATCGTGAATGCAGTGTGATTTTACAATATTATTGTTAGAACTTACAATTAAATCCTAAAGAATAGTCCAAGTCAAGTAGTAAAATGAATGTACTCTGCTGTTCTATGTTTCATGACTGTTCGATCAGAAGTGGCAGTTAGCACCTGTGGTAAGTGATGTCAACCAAAAAACAACGCTGCACTGTGATTGGCTTAGCTTCATCACGTGATCACCAGTACTAGTGGCCTGCCAATCATTTCAAAGCACCATGTTCTGACCATAGGCTTGTCTAACCCATATAGAGTTTGCATGGTTTCCTGCACCCATCACAGATAACTGAATGCATGGTCACATGCAGAAATAGGGATCTAAATTTAGAACACTTTGCCTAGTAGTCATTCAAACCATATTTCGCAGTGCTTGTTTTTAAAGCATATTGGCTTGAAAATATATAAAAAAGAATGTTCTACATGTAATTCTGCAACACTTTACATGGGATATAAGGTGAAAATTACATGTTTAGTTTCTGAACATAAACAATTTGATTTATATAATAATCTTAATTGCTTTGCTTTACTTTAGGTGACTTAATATTTTGATGCCAAGCACATGTCGTACATCACTTGACAACTCTAAGCTGGACTTAAGGAGGTGCTTTATTATACCTAATTTCTCAGTTATCGTCTGAATAGCTAAATGGATTGATTATAAGATGATATTAAAGGTTGATTGGACTTTGTTTCAGGCGCTTTTTGAGCTGAAGTTTGAGTTTCTGAAGATCGTGTGCAGTCACGAACACTACATTCCCCTTAACCTGCCTCTACAGAGGAAGGGCTACATGCACAGGTTCCAAGGTGGGTTCCACATGGACATGTTCATATGGTCTACATGTACGCAACACGTTGGCAGAACGTGCTGTACCTGCGTGAAACCTGTAATGTATTATGCATAGCACTTCAGCAGAATGTCTCCTATAAGGTCGTATTCGCGCATATAAGGACAACATCCTGTCCGTAGTTTCCAAATGTTGTGTCGGATAAGATATCCTCGGCAACTGGCAAAATTCTGATGCATCGTTGACCAAAGATCCAACGGAAACTGTGAAAATTCAGGGTTTCTCGCAGGCACAGTACATTGATGTGTTTAGTACATGTATGTACACATGTACACTGGGAAATGGGAGGTTTGCTTCATGTGATAACAATGATCCATACTAGATTTTAGAAACAAAGAACATGACATACAATGTAGATTGCGTTTATTATTGAAAATGAATGTGAAAGAAAATAATGAAACATGATGATACTACATGACATTGTCCAGACGCCATAGGGCACACCCACATTGTGGTCGGCTTCTTTGTGGAGGGCGGAGGTGTCAGCCTGATTGACATTGAGGATGGTAAGACCACCAAGGCTAGGGGACTGGGCTTCTGAGCTGTGGTTTAAGGGTACAGGCAACAAAAGTCTTGGTCATGAATATTGAAACTTCCCATTTTGGTATGTGCAGTAGAAGTCTTACTGTGCAGGACACATCTATGCACAACTGTCCCAACAATAACCTCTGTTTGTGATCATATGACAGAGATTGTATGACGCACTTGACAGGATCCCAATTAAAGATTTGCGTGGGGTTGGGTGGTCAGTGTCCAGGACAAAAGACTGGATTTTGTTGCCTGTCTATTTCATATTCTGCTTGGAGCAAAGGATGCGCCAACATTGATCGGTCCTGCTGTGGTGTTAGAGAGATGAAAAGGATAAGGTTAAGAGTCAAACCATCTGTTACGACCTACAGTAGATGTAGAACTGTTTGACTTAATACATAGTTCCTCAGGGTGTTAGCATTATTTCTCATAATCTTCCCACTTAAACAAATCCCTCTCGCCTTAAATGGTGCTTGTGAAATAAGGCTCACCATACCTTACCTCCCCCAAGCATTCCCTTTTAGTTAGTTATTTGTTCGACCTTATGATAAAAATTCTTCAAACTTCAGACTTTTTAAAATTTCTGTGACAACACTTAAAACAGATTTTGCATATTTTCCCCATCCAATAGCTGAAGGAGGGGTCATGGCCACGTTGAATCCAGGTATCAAAGTATCCATTGTAATGTAATAGATACTTCAATCTTCACCTTCCTTGAATCACTGGATTTGACTATCCTCTGGATAGCCTTCTTTGTTATAATGTCATGTTCTTTCAAGTCATAGGAAATTGGGGAGTAAGGTGTTGTGCTACATGTAAGTTATGCTATGGGTGTATCTCATAGGTAAGGTGTGGAGTATGCATGATTGGAGTTTTGGTGCATGGGTTTTGTAGGGTGCTACGTAGTTATAGCACAACTTAAAGAAATAACTTTCCTGAAGAAAGAGATTTTCTGATACATGTTTTTAGTTCCTTTGCTGTATTCTACATTTACTCCAATGTGAACTGTCGAGTGTTTTAACTAGTCAAAAAATTATTTTGATTTGTAGGAAAAATTAAAAGTATTAAATTATACATTTGTTACAGAATCTGATGTTCTATGTATTGTTATTTGGTTATATAGTAAAGCTGTTGGGAAAATTACCATATAATGGTTGAAAAGAAGAAAGAGCCTATACAATGTGACAGTATTACATTAAAAGATAAAGTCCTTTTGTAACTGAGTCCTTTTCATTATTGTATGTAAGTTGTATGAAGTAAGAAATGTCTACTTTATGTCTGACTTTTTATGTCATTTATTGGACATTGGTTGCTTCCTTGTTACTTAAGAGAGTTTTTGCTTTCATCGTCACTATGGAGGATGCCACCCAGACTAGTTTTTCTACAGCACATCTTAAGACTGACCTGAGGCTAACTCTCCCAATGTCCCTCTCCAGACCAGCAGCAGGAGTTCTCGCTGACAGATGACTACTGTAAGCACCACTTCCTGGTAGGTTTACTCCTGCGAGAGGTCAGCGCCGCCCTGCACCAGCCGAAGGATGTACGACAGTTTGCTGTCTCAACTCTACGCGACCTGCTCGCAAAACACTCTTTCGACGACAGATATCAGTCCAAGGTATTTTTTTATTGATTATTAATTGACTTAAACTCCGCTCTATGTGACAATTACTCGCAAAACACTCTTTTGATGACAGATATCAGTCGAAGGTATCTTTTTTATTGATATTCATGACTTAAAGTGGAAGAGATGAATTAGATACAATCTTTGGAAGTTGCCACCCGGATAAAAAGGTAATGTCATGTACCATGAATAATACGTGTTTAATAGCATGATATACCTGTATCTGTACATGCATACAACAACATACATTTTTAGGACATACTGGCACCAATAAATTTGTACATGTACATGACATTAATACAACTGTACCATTATCAATACAATCACACTAGGTACACTGAGACATATGAGTTTTACATCATCAAAACAAACTTATAATGTAAACATATGTGATATACAGTAGACAGCACAAATACATTATACATTGTACAGCAAAAACTAGATTGCAATGATCATTGTAAACCTTTTTGTCTTATAATATGGAAGCAAGGACCAGAGGATACATTCACCAAGTATGTAAAGAGAAAAGAACATTTACAGTTTAAGCACCTCTAAGTTGCTCTAACCAATTGTTACTCTTCTAAACAGACAATGTATGTGACTGTATATACATGAACATGTATGACAGTACATGTACATGCAGATACTACATTTGTACCTTTAGCCTGTGCTTGCAACTGGTCACTGTTACCTACATATACATCATAGTCTTCTGATGAAAGTCATAATGATTATGTATAAGTTGTGACTGCCAGCTGTGACCAGTCGACCATACTTGACTGGTAGCTTTGGTTTTTGTACAAACTTATGTGTTGCGGACAACATTGCCTGGCTCTTGCATGGGTGAAGGGTTTGTTTTTATCCTTTTGATGTACCGTATGGTATAAAGACCTGCACAGATGAGGAAGAGACCACCTAATGCACCCAGAAAAGCAGTGAGGAAGGTAGGGAGGGAGAATGCACCAGTACCAACTCCCGAAGAATAAGCTGGTGTTGTTGGAAATGTTGGCTTTCCTGGTTGAGCGAAAGGAGAGAGGCTGCTATCTGCAGGCAAGCCATGCGTAGAGTCAATAGCTGTTGAGGAAGAAGTTGGTTTTTCTGGTTGACCAAAAGAAGAGGTAGTACTGCCTGGTGTAGAGTCAACATTACATGCAGTGTCATCTGGTGTCGGGGAAGATGTTGGTATTGTCAAAGTTGCTGTTTCTGATTGATCAGAAGAAGATGATGTATGACTGACTGTAGTAAGAGTATCACTTGCTGTGTCTGGGATTTGGGAATACCCTGGCTGGCCAATTATGGTGGAGGTACCTAAAGCCGAGTTAGCTGTCACCAGTGTTTCTTTACAGATCAGATCTGTATCATTTAGGTCCTGTAAGTATTGTCCTTGCAGGTTGCTGGGCCCAGCACATTTGATCTGATTTTCAAATGGGAAACGACTTGTCATCTTTGACCTAAAGGGAATCATCCTACAGTCACACTGCCAAGGGTTGTTGGTAATGTTTATCCCCGGCAGGTACATGTTGTTTATCCCCAGGTACATATACTGAGTATAAATGGAGACCAATATGTCATATGCCAAGGATGGTAGTGTCTCCATTCTGTTGTTCTGAATAAAAAGTGCATGCAGCTCTGAACTATTGAGCTCCACAGGAAAAGTGTCGATATGATTAAAGGAAATGTTTGATATTAAAAGCTGGGACAGATTTGCAAATGTGCCTGCTGCAATATTGCTGATGTTATTGTTCTGAAGAGATAGGCTGTCGATTCTTGGATTGTCATTAAAGAGGCCAGCCTCTATATTGCTTATATGGTTGTAGGACAAGTCTAGGCAAGACAGCATGTGAAGTCCCAAAAATATGTCAGTTGGGAGACTGGTCAAGTTGTTCTGGTAAATAAAGAGAAAATTAAGGTTACTGAGTCCAGCAAATATGCTAGATGGGAGAGTGGTCAGTCGGTTGTTACTAAGATACAAAAACTTCAAGTTGTCAAGTCCCCGAAATATGTTATCTGGGAGAGTTGTCAAATGGTTCGCATCAAGATTCAACCGCTTCAGGTTATGAAGTTCCCGAAATATGTCAATTGGGAGACTGGTTAAGTTGTTCTGGTCAATATAGAGATACATTAGTTTACTGAGTCCAGCAAATATGCCAGGAGGGAGAGTGGTCAGTTGGTTGTTGCCAAGATCCAAGGTAACAAGTCCCAGAAATATGTTATCTGTTGTCAAATGGTTCGCATCAAGATTCAACCACTCCAGGTTATGAAGTCCCCGAAATATGTCAGTTGGGAGACTGGTTAAGTTGTTCTGGTCAATATAGAGATACGTTAGTTTACTGAGTCCAGCAAATATGCCAGGCGGGAGAGTGGTCAGTTGGTTGTTACTAAGATGCAACCATTCCAGGGTATGAAGTCCTGAAAATATGTTATCTGGGAGAGTAGTCAACTGGTTATGCTCAAGATACAACTTCATTAGGTTATGCAGTCCCCAAAATATGTCAGCTTGGAGACTGGTCAAGTTGTTCTTGTCAATACGGAGGTACTTAAGGTTACTGCACCCCCTAAATATGCCAGAGGGGAGAGTGGTCAGTTGGTTGTTAACAAGATACAAGCCCTTCAAGTTATCAAGCCCCAAAAATATGTTATTTGGGAGAGTTGTCAAATAGTTGGTATCAAGATGCAACCAATCCAGGTTTTGAAGTCCTGCAAATATGTCATTAAGGAGACTGGTCAACTGGTTATTAGAAAGGTACAGGGCTTCTAAGCTTCTTAAGTTGTGAAATGTTGTGTTATCTATTATGGAGATCTGATTGCGACCAAGATATAACCTTATCAAACTCCTATACCTTGAGAAGTCAGACTGATTTAACGTTGTAAGTGCATTGTCAAACAACCAAAGCTCAGTAATGTCTGTAGGCAGGTCCTGAGGAACACTGGTGAGGTTCCTGTGGCTGCAGTCACAGACTGATGAACAGCTGCTGCTGCAGGCTGCAGTTGGTCCAGTTGTCTTCAGGATGATCAGCAGAAGAACCATCACCTTGTTCAACATGTTGCCTTTGCATTTGAGATTGAAATAAGAAAATGAATAATCTATAGATAACTCTGTAGAATCTATGCAGCATGGCATCATTTTTGTTTGTTTGTTTATTTGTTTAAACAATTTGTTATTCATGAGAAGCTCAAATCAGACTGCAGGCCGCTTTTTATTGAGGTCATGAGGGAAGAGGTAAGGGTCAGGCCCAAAAGTACTGATAAATCTATACACATGGAGTTGGTTTGTATAATATTCACAGTGATGCACTTATAATCCATCACTCATACATAACTGAATGAAGTTGATAGTTAAAACAACTAGAAAGATACTTATTGTTCATTGCAAGTTCCAGACAATTTACAAAGAATTTGTACAATGTCATGTAGATGTTATCATTCAGGGCAAACAAAATGAGTTGCTACAACTTCCCAAAAGAGCAAACAGACTTACTTGGAATCACTGTGCACTTTCCAGAGTCAATCCACAGCCTGTTGCTGGTAGTTTTTTTGGCGACGCCTCAGGGGCGGAGGCATTTTTTACAGTACTACGATCGCTTTGAAAGAATTTCAAAAATTGCACGAATGCAGTCCCTAGGGAATTGGTTTTGAGGTAACCTCCGGCCATGTGGACTTTGGACCTAGTAGGAAAGGCCTATGTTACCATGCATGCAAAAGGCACCTTTTCCGGCCAACTGTGGCTTTTTTCACACAGAATATTAATGATTGTCTTTATTTATATTTCAAATATGTTCTCTTCTATCAAGAGAGAAAAATAGAATAAAATAAAACAGAAAAATTTTGTTGCTCATAAGAAAGAAAAAGGAGCAGCATATTCAAGCTTAAAAGAATAATGTTTCAAGTAAGTTTTTAGTTTCAACCATATGATGCTGGTCGTTTTTTTCATAACTTAACTGTGTGATAATTATGATGTTTTGTGTAATGGATTTTATTCACTTGTGTGTTTTCTATCATGTATGTTTGTGTCAGTCTTGCTTTTTTTATTCATATTTTTTTTCTTTGCTTTCACGATGCTACTGCATTCAATGCTTGTTTTTCAATTTTCTTGCGTGCAAAACATGAATGCACACCCCAATCCTTCCTTGACTGGGCTTCGTGCTAGCCAGTGAATCCCTGCTGTAGTCTGCATCTCAGGGTGAGGCATGGCGAAATTTACCTGTGGACACAAAGAGAGAAAAACAAATAAGGTCCTTATTTCAATAAGTTATGTGATTCAATGATGTTTACCTTCACCTAACTTTCAAATGCCCTAGGCATGAAATTCCAGGCAGTTACCATTGCTGAATTACAACATGTTCTCATTAATTATGCAAATTAAATCTTAATTTACATAATATCTGCCTGCGTTTCTCTCGTTCGCAATTACATATGCCACACGCTTTAATAGTCCTGTCATGTAATGTAACTGATACATGCTACATTGTTTTCCCAGCAATGACATCATAGAAAGCATGGTACCGTATTTCAAAACTCACACAGCTTATCGTGAAAGAAGTACTATAGAGATGCGAACATTGCCTAACTATCGTGATTATGTACAATATTGCGTATAATAAGGATGGTTAGGCACTCACCTGGTATTTTGTTTCACTTCTTGATTGTATTCTTGATTAACTGTTGTGTTTGTCGTCATGTAAAGCTGAAAGAAACAGTGTAGAACAGGTTAGCGAGGTTTGTTGCATTCTAGGGTTGCGTTATTCTGTATAGTTCGACAGCATTCAGCGTGACCGCGGAAGAGAACATGCGTACATGCGTACAGAGCAGCAAAGTTTAGGTGCATCAATCATCAAAGGCTAGAGTTGGGATATATCCACACCGGATTGTCAATAAACAAAAAATACATCCACGTCGGGTGTGTCAATAAGAAAATATTCTTTATATCCACACCGGGTGTGTCAATAAGAAAAAATATATCCACACCAGGTGAATCGATAAGGACTGTATACTGT